AATTAAAATTACATTTAAAGAGATCATTGAATGTTATCTTTTGAAACAACTTTTTGTTGCCACTTATAAAAGCACTATAAATCAGTATTGGGAAAATTTTAATTTCTTAACCTATTGATACAAGAAATAAAGTATGAAAACTTAGACATACTTGAATTTGTGTGAATTACAGTCTCCCTACCAAGATTACTAATCTATTACTGGTCATATTAAAATTTTAGCAACTTACTCTTGCTAAAAACTTATTTTTTATAATATACATGAGTCGATAATTGATGAAATAAATAAGTGGGTTGATGTTTTTATTTTAAAAAGCAAAACCTAATTGAAAGTCTTATCTTCTGTGGTGCATGCCTGTAATCCCAACACTTGGGAAGCTGAAGTGGGAGGATCAAGAGTTCAGGGCCATCCAGGGCTACATAGTGAGTTCAAGACCAGCTTGAATTGCAAAGCAAGACCTTGTCTCAAATAAAAGAAAAAAATCTACCTGTTTTCTATGATAAAATCAAGAATGTAAGGTCGAGGCATGAAGATCATGAATTCAAAGCCAGCCTGGCCTACACAGTGAACTCAAGAGTGGCCTGGACCACGGTAATATTATGTACCGAAACCCTGTCTCAACAACAAAATGGGACAACCAGCTCAGTGCCCTCCCCCACTATCTCCCTCCTCTCTTGGACAGGAACTTTCTTTCCCTCAATAAATATATTCTGCTCATCAAAAACAAAAACAATGAAATTGGAATAATGAACAGTCCACACAGTATTTTGGTTTTGTTAATCAGGGCCTGCCCCAGCCTGCAAAGAGCTGGCGGTACTGATCTCTCGATGTCCCCCTAAAGGTTACAGGCATGGCTTTTTGAGCTGACTGGATCTTGGCTGTGTGGTACTCAATCACTCCACTGATAGTTTTAGCCTAGTTCTTGATGTAGTTGAATGGATTTACTGAAAACAAGCCCCATCCCTCGAGGGGGTGACTCTAATTAGCAGGCTTGTAGCCTGAATGGAATGAAAGGTAGAGGGAAGTTTGCCACACCACTTCCTGGCTCCAAAGGGAAGATGATGTGTAGCTCGGCCTCTTAGAGAAGCTTGTCACATTGGCTTTCTTGATGAGAACTTGGCTTTCCTCATCGCTGGAGGATCTTGGGACCTCGCTGTTGCTGAGGATGGCTGTGGTACTTTTGGGGGAGCTCGGGTGCTTTCTTTGAGTGTTGCTTCCTAGCTCCAATGCAGATCCCTCAGCCTGCTAGCAAAGATCCTTCATCCCACTGGCATAGTCTTCCTAGCTTCAACCACTGACTTTTGGCCCTTTCAGCACACATCTGTGAAGTAGGCCTGCATGAGACTTTATAATGGGCTCTAGGCCTTCAGTGGGCCTGCGGGAGGCATTGTTATGGGCTCTTCCGCTGACATTGAAGACATTGTCGTATCTTCAGCTGGAATCATGCAGCATATTAGGATCCAGGCCCTCAGCTGGATTCTTCAGTCTTTAGTGTGTGGACAGATTTCCTGTACTATTTGTATATAACTCTTTGGCTTAAAATAATCTTATAAAATGTGACCTGTACGGTATTGTTCTCCTTGCAAAATCCCCAAACCATGACATGTTCTATGTTCACAACTCCAGATCAAGGGAGTTGTTATACTTCTAATTCAGGGAATTCCAAGCAAAGATTACAGACTTCCTGGCTCTGGTCACTTTTTTAGACCAGTCACCTGGTCAGGAATAACGGGAACACACAGGAAAAAGGTTGAAAATATAAAAAGATAGCTATGCACTGATTTGATTCATGAGCTTACTAACTGAATTCTGATAGTAAAGCAGGATATCTGTTTCCAAAATCTAGATCTGTACTATAATATGGTAGCCACTTGAGGGCTATTTAAGTATAATTAAAATTATATGCTATTAAAGGTTTAGGGCCAGAGATACTGCTCAGCAATCTAAGCCCCTGCCTGGCTAGCGCAAGGACCCAGGTTTGATCTACAGTACCACATGCTGTGCCAGCCCCGCATCGCACTGGCCACTGAATCCAGGCATGGTGGTGTAATTCCAGTGCTGGGAAGGCTGAGATGGGAGGATCACTGAGTCTGAATTGCATAGTGAGACCCTGTACGAAATAAATCTTTTTTAAAAAGTTCAGTTTCCCAGTTACACTTGATATATGTATGTATGTACATGTACATGTGTAATACTGTATATTTTAAGGTACTAGAAATTAAACCTGGGGTGCTCTAACACTGAACTACAGCCCCAGCTCTGGTTAGGTTTTTTCTTTCTTTTTTTTTTTTTTTTGAGGAGCAAAGAGAGCAAGTTTATTTGGTGACTGCTGATGGCAGGCATCATCCAAGAGACCAGGTGGAAAGGGTGCTGTGGCAAGGGAACCTAGAAGCCTCTGGGGCCACAAACAAATCTCTCAACGGGCAAGGCACGGGTTCTGGGGAGTTGGAATGTCCTCAGCCATTCAGCACCATCCGGACAAGTTCTTCATAGTTGATACAACCATTGCTGTCCTCATGCCCTGCCACCAGCATCTC